AAGTTGGATGAGACTATAGAGACAGAAGTCCTACAGATATGAAGAGAAACAGAAATTCCCTAGTATCACCCCACAAACTGTGGAAAAGAAACTCCTGTAAAAGGCAGTCCTATTTCTAGGAATGAGTATCGGTGAACTTCGTGTCTGTTTCAGGGAATGACAGACCAGATGCAACTTAACTTATTAATTTATTCTTCCCATCTAATTACATAAAGGCAGAATCTCTTGCATTGTTTTTAAGAGGAACTGTAGAATAAGAAGAAATTAAAAGGCAATGGAAGCAGGCTGCTCTAATAATAAATAGAACACAGAACTGCACACACACAACCTTCTCCCCAAACCACTTTCCTGGAGCAAAATCCACTGCATCGTGAAGACAACTGTGTCTGCTGTCACCAAAATTATTCTATCACCAAAAAAACCTTCTAAGAAGGGCTTCTGTGCCTTCTCATTCCCTCCACTACAAATGGCAGCTGGTGTAATACAAGATAGTACGTGTCCTGCCGATATATCCCGAAAGAGAAATGCTTGGAATACATGGAGATTTTTTTCAAGATACGCTCCAGGCAAAACAGTTCAATGAAAACTGACAGTAATCTCAGAAACAACTTCTAGAAATTCAGTCTGAAAGCACTGGTGCCCAAAGTGAATCTACAGACATGGTACAATTCATCTCTGTATGCTGAAACAACCTCAGACTGCTACCTACCATCTTTGAGACTTCACAGAGGTCAAAGGAGGTTCTAGAAGAACCTCAGATTTTCTCTGTCAAATTGTGAGAAGGTAACTTGTCCATGGGAGTCAGTCCTGTATGTAATGCTGTTCAATATTTAACCGACTCAGATGATACAACAAAGAAAACTTGTATTAAATCTGCAACTTATACAAAGCCTGAAAAAAGGTTTAGCATGGTAGAGGGCAGGATTAGAATTCAAAATTATTTGGACAAATTGGAAAACCACTTGGAAATAAATAAGAACAATTTAATTAAAGAGAAGTGCAAAGTCATATACCTAGTGGGAATAATCAGCTGCAGAAATACAAGATCAGAATTAACTGGGTGCATTGCAGTTATGCAGAAACCAAATAATACAATAGGTCACAAACTGCAGACAGTATCAGTATCACAAACATAAACTTAATAATGGGACGTAAGACAAGGAGCAAAATATCTAAGGCACATGGAAGACATCTAGCTTGTTTGGGTACTGCAAGACAAGAGAAAGTTAGATCAACTGGACTGCAAAGGAAAAGAGAGTTGGAAGACATGAATCCCATACCAGAGTTGGAAGATAAAATTTATCAGGGTAGTCGCTTTTACTCAGACTAAAGAGTAAGGGAAGACAGATACATAGTTGCCAAATATGTAAAAAGTTGTTACTAACTCTAAGGAAACACGTATTCTGCATATTTACCCTGGATGGGTAAGTACTGAACTGAAGAATTCAGAAACAGAGATTTAAGTTATATGGTAGAAGAAAAAAAAAAACAACCAAACTAACAATAGGTTTGACAAAGCACAGACATAGATGTATGAGGCCTGCCATTGAAAATAAATAAAGTAATAACTGCTGTTTATCACTTTTTAAACCAGCATAGATTTTTTTTTTAAAAAAGTAACCTGAAACATGTTAAAATACTGATAAAGCAATGAATATGACTCATAACCAAAGCACTGCCATTGAGACACTGTAGAGGTATTTCAGTAATTTTTTTATAGATTCAATATGTTAAGATAATAAACATGAAAAGTAGTTGCATAAATGAGTCGTCTTTGCCTATCACAGAGATTTTTCTGGTGAGGTCTATTCTCAAGAGTTATTTCTGTTAAAAAAAAGATGCATTAGCACTTAGCCTGAAGGATCCAACAGAAGGACCATTTTAATTATGTCTTCTTTTATAAAAAGTTTTTATTAACAATCTGCTAAGAACAAGAATTTCCCATTTGTCACTGGCGCTATGTGAAACTTGCTTAGTTTTCAAATAGGCGTATTCATAGGTCACGTGCATACCTGAGAACCAAGCAATATTCTTTTAGCCTACAAGTCACTCCCCCAAACAATGAGTGCAACAACTACAAGACTTGGTGATTTAAGCTCCGAGTGTAGTAAGAGGAAGCACTGAATACTTCACACCCTAGAAAAGTGACATTCAAATGTTCTGTAACTGGAAGTTGGGAAAGACCTCCCTTGATTATCCCCACTTCATTAATTAAAACCATTCACATTTATCCCTACTTGACATAAACTTACTGACCTCTTAGTCTTCAAGTCATAATTCAAATGTGAACGTACAGGAATGAGTAGGCAAGCACCATCATAGGAGCATGTCACCAGAAACATTTTAAGGCAAGCAGCTAGGGCAGTAGGTTAGCAGCATACTTGGGTAGCACTGCATGTCATCTAACATGCATGAGGGGAAGAAGGGGAGGTCAACACCTTAAGATGACCTCGACAGAGCTAGTCAGAGATTTATACCAGCTCATCTGGCACCAAGTCTATCTGGACTGAATTCATAAAAGCACCCTGAGCCAAGGCTCCAAACTTAGCAAGAGAAAAACAGGCTTTGTACATGGATGAGGTAAATTCCCACATCTCCTTGACAATAGAGCGTACAGTCATTGGGACACAAATACCAAACACCTCTATGTTATTTGTGGAGGGAGGGAGGGAAGATGGACAGTTTCTCATTCTAGGAGAAAATACATAGCGTATACAAAGAGGATATAAAATAAAAAAAGCACCTAAGCCTATCTTAAATGTATCTGAGGCAACTGGAATTCTCAGCTCATACAGACACTCCTGTAAGATAACTGACTGAGTTTTTTTCCTTGCTGAAAAAGAACAAACATAACTCTCAGAATAATCGCAGCAGGAAGCAGTAAGTTGTACTTACGCCAACCTGTAAACTTACTTTCTTCTTCCATCTTTCTGCTCCGCTGAATATAACTGCATTCCCTGAAAAGACTGTAACTCCAAAACTATACAGTGTCAATTTTTATTTGGATAAGCTATCACTGACCTCAATCACTCAAAAATGTCCTATTAGTCAATATGCTTGCTCAGGACTGTCTTTGTACTCGACCTATAGTGATCCAGGTTCACACCAGAGAGAAATATGGTGTATCTCTACTGAAATAACAGCAGTGGCACCTGCTTACATATGTTTAGTATCTAGAATCATCTTAGCAAACCCAGCAAAAGTCTGATGAAAAATGCCACCAAAATACTGCCATTTAAGAACTAAGCACTACTTGACATTAAGAAACAGTATTACTAGAATTATTAAAATTCCTGAAAACTGAAATCAGCAACAGTTCAAATTGACTCCTTCTACAGTTTATTTTAAGCTTAACTTTAATTTTTGCACTTCTTACTTTCTCCCACTCATACTTCAACTCTTAGTGCAAGAAGGCACTTAGGTGTTTTATTGCCAAAAAGTACCATTCTTACACAACAGAGAAGACAGACTTACAAACGAAAGGGCCTCCATACCCTATAAACAGAAGTAATGGAAAATAAGAAGTTTCCCTTTTTGTCCTCATGCCAAATAAACAGTACATTCAGTTCCATAATCTGGGTTGGGCTGTCTTCTCTCCTCCTCTCTTTGTACAGGCTTAGGTGAAAAGCTTTTGATACATTATTTCCCAAGTACATGAGTTTCACATTGGAACTGATCCAATTAAAACAGGAAGACATTTATAATATTTCTTTAGGTATCCCAGAAATTGCCATCTCAGCTGTAACTGACTTACCTTTTCCGCAATCTGAAAGTACTTTTTAATGAAGAGAGGCAAGAAAATGAACAACTACCAAGTGACTTTAATTCCAACCAGCCTCACAGAACCACTAGGAGACTATTTAATTTTTGTGTCTGGAGAGGTGGCATGTGATCCATGAAGGAGTGACACATGTAATAAAAATGAAATTGCTGCAAAAAATAAAGAAAAAATGGAAACTGGCTAAAAGATATCCACAGTTTAAAAAAGGAAAAAAAAACCCAACAAAAAAAAACCCACTGGGAAAGACAAGAGATATTATTCAAAGTAATTCCCAAGAAAGAACGTGGAGCAGATGCCTCTGGTTGAGAAGGACTAAATCAATATTCTACTCCTCCATTTCACTACTCTTCCAACAATTTTTCAGAAAAAGTATTTATTAATGTGCTTGCCTATTAAGGTAGAGACAGAGTTAAAGTAGCTATGCTAAAGAAACCCCACTTCCTCTTACCCACAGCACAGACAGAACAGTGATGATGGCACGGTGCTATTCTATACACAAACCAGTTTCCTTCCTACACAGTATCTTTTGAAAGCGGACATAAACTTGAAAGGATATCAGATTTCATCTTACAATTTTTTTTCTATTCACAAACTATAGTTATTTTTGATTCCAAGAGAATAAAACATTGGAATTTAAATCACATATCCATTTTGCTCCAGCAATACAAGTCATGGATTGGGACAAATCTCAAACTTTATAAAGAATAATAATTTAATATTTTATAAACTGTATGCCTATTTCTACTAACTAGCTTTGAACAAGTCCGTAATATTATTTTTCCAAACTTTACATAAAAAAATTAGCTAAAACTAAAAATTCTTAAAAAGAACAATAACTTCTGCCCAGAGTTTTCTCCCTCTTTTCAGATATAGACATCTTGTTTCAGTTGTTCTGAACAAAACGGAAAACACAAGGAGTTCACTAGCTCAGTCTTTTTAAAAATAAAAGAATTTGACAGGTCTGTAAGAACTGCAGGAACTTCCTTTGAGAAGAGGAGAGAGAATGTCAATACTAGCAGAAAACCCCATTAAATTATCTGTACCAAGGGGGCATCTTAAAGAAGAGATTAACTGAAAGAAGATGGGAAAGACGAGAAGTCAGTGAAAGAAATCAACAGTGAATTTACTATACAATCATCAATGAGAAAACTGTATTACTGGAAGCATTTGGAATTTACTTCACTCTCTGTTGATATTTTCTCAATTTTTTTCTACTTACCTAGACCTTTTTGTCCAGGGTTTTTAGCAAAGTTAAAAGTAAATTGATAAAAATCTTTGAACTTCATTGGATCCTTTAGCTCCTGTTCCAGTCTTGGCAATAGAGTTTTTAGCTTTTCTGTGGTGTCACACCTGTTCAAAAGAGGTTATATTATTTGTAAATATTTAAAATTTCTTTTTACTCTTTTTTTTCCTTCTTCATTTTTTAAGGTTTCATTTCAGAGCAAAATAAAACACTAGTTAAGATAAAGGAAGAGTATCTGTCTGGATAGCATTCTTAAAAATACACACAGTCACATGTCTTTACTAAGTGATTTTAAGTGGAACATTATATATAGGCATCCATTAAGTACACAACCCAAATAGGATTCAGTGGTTTAACTTCTTTTCTCTTCACAAGTTTATGAACTCAAACAATAGATGTGATTCTGTTCTTAAAGAACTTACAAACCTCACTGAAATCTGCTATCCTTTCCCCTTTTACAGCTGTTGTAACACAAGGGCATGAGTTTTTTCTTTAATCTAGATAGCCATTACTTATTCCCTGCTCTACCCAAATGAAGAGCTGCATACCATGTTTACAGTTAACCTTAACATTAGAGAACTTTCCAACAAAATGAACTATTATTTGCCATCATCCTCTCCCCACCATAGAAAGCTTGCAGATAAAACCTAGGAAAAAAAAAGAAAAAAAAAAGAAAAAAAAAAAAAAAGTGTCTTTGGCAGTAGCTTGAAGGCTGACAAACTGTTAACAGCCTGGCACAGGTAAGCTAGGATAGAATCAAGTTACTGAGATTCTAACAGAAACACATCCCTTAATAACACAAGACTGGAGCCTTTTCAGTGAAAGCACCTGAGCTGACAATAAAAATCCATAAAATGCAGATGCAGTTTTAACTGTCTTGCATGGTACAAATAGAAATAAGTACCCTTCTGGCCTCCAGCAGTACCTGGCAGAGAAAAGATAAAGACTTCTGCCAACAGGCTTCAACTGAGAACTTCAGTTTCATGGAAACTTGATCTAGTTAACAATAGGACAAATATCACACCTTCCCATATGTATCCTAAAGGTGCTATATGAACTAAGCCTCAGGAAATGTCTCTTCACTCAAATCTTCACCTACATTCAATGCTAAAAACCACAGACGCTGCACCTCCAGTATATAACAAAGTCATTCCAAATTCTCAATAACCACTATACCAGTGGCAAGCAGGTATGATCAGATTATGCTCCCAAGAACACAATAATATGTGTTGAGCAAAGAGAGATAAAAATCACAGATCTCTGCGGACCTGTATCAGAGACAGTCATGAGGACATAGGAGCAATGCGACAATGAAGTTACAAAACAAAATCCAAGCCAGAAGCCACAGCTGTTTTAGCAAAGCCTTTTTAAGAGGTTACATCAAATAGTGCTGGTGGCCTTTAATGTAACAGCATGAGCATTTGATTGCTGTCCATGGCAAGAAAATCATAGTTATTCTTACAGTCTCTACCCAAAGCTACACAAAGGGACAAAATAAAGCAGCGCGCTTCAGATGTTATCAAATGTTATTTCATCACAGTTTCTGAATACCCTGACGTAAAAAGGAAATCTTAGAAAGAAGCCAATAACCAATGAGGTCAGTAACAACAGACTGCTAGGACCCCTGCCAAAGAAACAACCACCATGTTTGTGAGAAGTTGGTCTACTGTAGAAAGGTATTGATAAGGTGTCATTCTAAGACCAAACGAAATTATTTAGCTACAAAAAAAATGTATAAGTAACAAACTGTAATTCTCCACCTATCTAATGTAACCTGACTAAAAAAAAAAAAAAAAAAAATCATTTTGATACCTCTCTATATTAGAAATACTGCATCTCTTCCAGGGAAAAATTATACACAAAATACTATTTTATGGGGATAAATGCTTGACTTAATCGCTAAACAGAGGAAATGCAGTTTAACCTCTAAGTCTATTATCCAGAACAGCTCCATAATCCAGGAAGGAAAAAAATTTTATCAGTTACATCACAGTCAGACTAACAATCTTTCCTACTACCAATACCCTCATTTTTATTTCTATTTCTTATAGATATTCTGTACAAATGACATATCTAGTATACAAGGCAATAAAAGAAAATTATGGTTTGTAAAACTGGTAAAGAGGAAAAAAAGTTGCATTTGGTGGTAATAAGGTAAAGAAATGAATATTCTTTTCTGCTTCGACACTGACTGAACTTTTTTTTACCTTCATACAACTCCAGTGACTTCCAGCTTTTAACAGCACACAATTCAAATCAAAACCTTAACACAACCATGCATGTCTCTATGAATTACAGGAAAAGATCAGCATATCTGTCTGTTTTCCTTGCTGTACAGGTAGGAATTATTTTGCTTCACCCTTACTGTGGTCATTGTTAAGGCTTTGCAGTAAAGCACCAATTTAAGAAAGATGGGACACTACAGGCATTTAGTACCTGTTAAGCTTGGCACCAGCCTTACCAGCTTTTTGAAGCCTCCCACTTAATTAAATTAAAAATCTTTTAAGTGTAAACTGAGCTCAGGCCTTACATTTTGAACTATGCAGAAATTGATACTTACCCCAACTCTGTCATGCCATCAACAAATTCCTTTTTACTGAATTCACATTGAGTAGCTGCCCTGAACTTCCATGCTACAACCAGAACACTGATACTGGCTGGGTCCAGGCTTAAATCATCACAGAACTGTTGAATCCCATCAATGCCAATTTTATTTTCATCTTGGGGGTCTGCAGTTCAAAATACAGAGAGGAGAACTGTAATTATTTACAAAAACTATTTACAACTAGTCATCTGCACAGCTTTAATATGCTGCATAACACAGGTCTTCATTTTTTCACAAGCTTCACAAATGTCTTCACTTGAAATCTAGTTAATTTTAGAAGTACCTTGATGAGGATCTGTAAATAGATTAAATATCCTGCAAATTTCCCTAAATATTCTGCAAATTTCCCTAGAAATTGGTTTGCTACTTTTTCCTAAATTCGTCAGCTAATGCCAATGAAGTAGTTTTGTCTTCTCTCCACAATGCTCTATGAAAGACCTGAATTAACTGAGGAGATTCCTGACTACATCTAAAAAACAGTAAGGCTGATAAACACATAAAAATGTACAATATATATATTGGTTAGCATGTATTAAACTTTAAAAGAAGAACAAAACCAAAAAACCCCTAACAAAAACACACCTATCAAGTGAGGCCACAGATTTTTTTTCCTGATAGGGATATATGATCATCCACCATAACTGCTTAAAGACCACAATTAACTCAAAACATTTTTGGTTTTTAATTATATGCCAGGGAAACTGCCAAAACATTGCTCAAACAATGCCTTAACACAACAGGGTCTTAAGCTAAACAATACCAACTTAAGAAATACTATGTTTCAGTAGTACTACCTTACTACCTTTTTTGGATGTCAGAAACATACTTTGTAACTAAATATGTCAGGGGAGATGCCATTGGAACAATTCATTGTTATGGGAACTGTGCAATACTTGTTTGGGGGAAAAAAACCCCAAACAAACAACAAAATAACACCTCTAGTTTTCAAAGCTTGACAGTTTGCAAATTACAAAGCTGTCTTTCCCAGCTTTTGATAGGAAGACACTGCAGTATTGTAAGTTGGGCTATGCAGAAAAATATCCATCAAGTAAATTTAAGATTAACTCCCTAAACTAGTAAGATTTTCAGTCATGCTAGCTTTTGAGTCCTTAACCAATGAGTTGATAAAAAAATTAAAAAAAATAAGTCTAAAGAAAACTAATTTTTTTTTTTTTGGCATGGGGGTGGGGTTAAGGATGTAGGGTGTTAAGCTAAAATCTCTTCCACTTTTCCAGTCAACATGGCAGAAGAGATGCTAAAATGCAGAGGACATCAATTTAGAAAACAAATATTTATATTCATTAAACAAAGAATTACGCCCATGGTATAATTCAGGGACCTTCGAGCAGAAAGCAAACATATCTATTCTACTATATGCTAGATCTAGTTCTAAGTAAAATGCATTTCATTTGGGGAGTAATTGAAGAATCAAGGGCAAAAAGTGAGCTGGTGTTGAAATCAGTGGAAAAATTCTGATGGATTTCCACAAGGACTGTTTCATCCTTACATTTCACACCACCCAGGTAACTAGGAACAAAAATGAAACTGTTGTTTTGATGGAGTTGCTGGATAAACAGATAAGAAAACTAAAATGAAGACAGCACGGAAAATGAAAGGCCTCTCATCTCAAGTTTCAAATATAGCGCAATGTATGTAGTATTCTATAGGCCCTGTAGCACAAAGGAATTCCTTCTTGTTGTGAGGCCAATGACTCAGGTTTAAGCTGCGTATGAAAAAAGGAAAGGTACCTCACCAAACCTTTTATTGTTTTCTCTCAAATCTTGTGAAGGTTTTGTTCAAGTGTACAACTTTACTTCAGTGTTAAAGTGTTAGCAGTGCAAAGGTGTGCTGCTAACCAAAACACAGACGTAAAACTGACTACACTTTCTTCCACAAAAGCCAAGTGGTGCAGTTTGCTACTGCTAGAAAATTATGGATAATAAAAACATTTGTGATTTTTTTTTTCCATTTCAGATATTCTTAGTAGCATTTACAAATTGATATATATTTTTGACCCAGTAATCTCCAAGACTGATATGCAAGGAGCAAGCAAAAGATTTAGCTGTGTGTTATATATATGTTATATATCTATTTATACATATATATAAAACAAACCAAAAAAGTGATTCTCCAGATGAGATTTTTTTTTTTCCACAAAGGAAATGCTATAATATGGCTGATTCTTTGTCCCTACGCAATCCATTACCGCATGAAAATGAAATACTGAAGAACATCTATACTTAAAATAAAACACATTATGTAAAAAGTAACAAAAAAGGTGGAAACAGTATCACAAGAACAGGCTAAAGCGTATACAAAGCATGCCATATACTGCAATTTGAAAAGTACATAAAATCATAGCTGAGTAATTGTTAAGAGTTCAGTTTTTAAAACATGAGATGTATGGATCTCAGCAGGGGCTGGTATCACCTCCGCTCCAACACGTAATGGACAATGCACACACTCATGGCAGGTGGCCACATCTCAGAGAGCCCTGTTAACCTGGATCACGTACATTCTTATATTTACATGACTATTTTTTTTTCTTCTGTTCTTAACAATGCTGTAAAATAGAAATTAATAGACAAGAAACAACTCTGCCTTTAATCCACTTCCCCGTAGTTTTCCCTCCAAGCCTCTCTGAACAGGCCTGTCCCTTTTGCTGTAATACGCCAGCACAAAGAATAAATTAAGGATGGAGTTGCCAGGACTAGTTTTTGAGATTTCTTATTTGACTGTTTTGTCAGACTCCTAGCTGTAATGTTATCTGAAACAGTTGTGATTTTAATGTGTAGAAATACTACTATATTTGAACAAAATTAACTCCCCCAAATATTAGTATAAGAATCATATGTATTTTTTTGCCACACAAAGTGCATGGTACATATATTTAATAGCAGCCACTGGCAACAAATCAAATAAGTTGCATCATAAGCTTTACTCTGCTTTCCACCATATGTAAGTGACGCTACTTCCTCATGATAGGTCTAATTTCCTATTGTGAATCTGCTTTAAACTCCACAGGAACATCTACAGCAGTTGTGTACTGAACATTAAGAGCATTTAAAACCTTTTCCATTCCTATCTCACCACAGCAAACACAGAGTGAAAGGCAAAAGCTAGCAGTCTTT